CTTCGGCCCCCAGTTGTGCCAGCTTTGCTTCTTATGTTGTGGGAGGGCGGGTGGGACTGGGCATGCCATGCTTGACTCGCTCGAGCTGGCTAGCTTGACTCCTACTCCTATCCTTATTCCTTATTGGAATATACTCCTACTCCCCCCTCAGGCCGGCAGATAGGGGCCACATCCGGGTGGTCCCATCCTAACCTGTAAAAAACAATACAAAATCAACATTTTTCTTATTTTTTCCTCTCGACATGGACGTCCTGTCGTCCACGGCGATAATCCATTGCAAAAAATACCACAAAGAGCACACGCGCGCGTTCATGTCAGAATCCTACCGAACACCGTGTGTTTGCAAGCATTTCAACATAAAAACATCAAAAACCCAATGCTTTTTCACAAAAAACTACAAATTTCCTGCCCGGGCTCTCTTGCTGAAATCATAGGAAAACCATAGGAATCTTAAGAATTCGGTCAAATCCAGCGATTTCACGTCATCGCGCGGTGCACTCGCGATGCTCTGTCATGCACCCAGGCCGCGAATCCTGTGCAAAAAATACCACGCGGGCGACATGCGCGCGCGTCGCCGCGAGCGCATGCTCAAATCCTTCTAGAGTCGTCGCCGTCATTGGCACCGTCGCATGGACGTCCTGTCGTCCACGTCGCAAAATGCATGGCAGGAATGGGACGCGGCGCACACCCCGCGCCCGCCCATCCAATCCGTCCCATTCTAATCTGCAAAGACAATACACAGTTTTGTTTTTCTTGTCAACATGGTCGTGCTGTCGTCACGTCGCAAAATGCGTGGCAGGAATGGGACGCGGCGCACACCCCGCGCGAAGGGGTGACATGGTACTACTACTACCACTACCACTACCAACACCACTACCACTGGTACTACTACTCCTGCCTCTTGGGGCCTCCTGGGCCCCCTTGGGGTGTCCTGTCAGACCGTCGGGCTTCCTCCGGCCACCTCTGGCTTCCTGCGGTGTACCGGGCCATTCTCGACTCGTCTGGCAATGCGTGCGCGGCATTCAACACGCGCTCGCCAGTTCCCGTCGGCAACCGCCATCGCGGCCGCATCAGCTGTACCAAACCGGCTGGCCGGTGTGACTTCGGCCCCCAGTTGTGCCAGCTTTGCTTCTTATGTTGTGGGAGGGCGGGTGGGACTGGGCATGCCATGCTTGACTCGCTCGAGCTGGCTAGCTTGACTCCTACTCCTGCTCCTACTCCTTCTCCTTCTCCTTCTCCTTCTCCTTTTCCTTCTCCTTCTCCTTCTCCGACTCCTACTGCTACTGCTACTGCTACTCCTATCCTTATTTCTTATTAGAATATACTCCTACTCCCCCCTCAGGCCGGCCATTAGGGGCCGCATCCGGGGGGTCCCATCCTAACCTGTAAAAAACAATACAAAATCAACATGTTTCTTATTTTTTTCCTCTCGACATGGACGTCTGTCGTCCGGCGATACTCCTTTCCAAAAAATACATCCTACTCCTACTCCTACTCCTATCCTTATTCCTTATTAGAATATACTCCTACTCCCCCCTCAGGCCGGCCAGGGCCGCATCCGGGTGGTCCCATCCTAACCTGTAAAAAACAATACAAAATCAACATGCTTTTTTACCGAACAACCCAAAAATTGTACAAATTTCCCGCCCGGGCTCTCTTGCTGAAATCATAGGAAAACCATAGGAATCTTAAGAATTCGGTCAAATCCAGCGATTTCACGTCATCGCGCGGTGCACTCGCGATGCTCTGTCATGCACCCAGGCCGCGAATCCTGTGCAAAAAATACCACAAAGAGCACACTCGCGCGTTCATGTCAGAATCCTACCGAACACCGTGTGTTTGCAAGCATTTCAACATAAAAACATCAAAAACCCAATGCTTTTTCACAAAAATGCTTTGGGGTGTCCTGTCAGACCGTCGGGCTTCCTCCGGCCACCTCTGGCTTCCTGCGGTGTACCGGGCCATTCTCGACTCGTCTGGCAATGCGTGCGCGGCATTCAACACGCGCTCGCCAGTTCCCGTCGGCAACCGCCATCGCGGCCGCATCAGCTGTACCAAACCGGCTGGCCGGTGTGACTTCGGCCCCCAGTTGTGCCAGCTTTGCTTCTTATGTTGTGGGAGGGCGGGTGGGACTGGGCATGCCATGCTTGACTCGCTCGAGCTGGCTAGCTTGACTCCTACTCCTACTCCTACTCCTATCCTTATTCCTTATTATAATATACTCCTACTCCCCCCTCAGGCCGGCCATTAGGGGCCGCATCCGGGGGGTCCCATCCCAACCTGAAAAAAACAATACAAAATCAACATGTTTTTTTTGTTTTCCTCTCGACACGGACGTCCTGTCGTCCACGGCGATAATCCATTGCAACAAATACCACAAAGAGCACACGCGCGCGTTCATGTCAGAATCCTACCGAACACCGTGTGTTTGCAAGCATTTCAACATAAAAACATCAAAGACCCCATGTTTTTCCACAAAAATTGTACAAATTTCCCGCCCGGGCTCTCTTGCTGAAATCATAGGAAAACCATAGGAATCTTAAGAATTCGGTCGAATCCAGCGATTTCACGTCATCGCGCGGTGCACTCGCGATGCTCTGTCATGCACCCAGGCCGCGAATCCTGTGCAAAAAATACCACAAAGAGCACACTCGCGCGTTCATGTCAGAATCCTACCGAATACCGTGTTTTTGCAAGCATTTCAACATAAAAACATCAAAAACCCAATGCTTTTTCACAAAAATGCTTTGGGGTGTCCTGTCAGACCGTCGGGCTTCCTCCGGCCACCTCTGGCTTCCTGCGGTGTACCGGGCCATTCTCGACTCGTCTGGCAATGCGTGCGCGGCATTCAACACGCGCTCGCCAGTTCCAGTCGGCAACCGCCATCGCGGCCGCATCAGCTGTACCAAACCGGCTGGCCGGTGTGACTTCGGCCCCCAATTGTGCCAGCTTTGCTTCTTATGTTGTGGGAGGGCGGGTGGGACTGGGCATGCCATGCTTGACTCGCTCGAGCTGGCTAGCTTGACTCCTACTCCTACTCCTACTCCTACTCCTACACCTACTCCTACTCCTACTCCTACTCCTACTCCTACTACTACTACTACTACTACTCCTACTCCTACTACTACTACTACTACTACTACTACTACTACTACTACTACTACTACTACTACTACTACTACTACTACTACTACTACTGCTACTGTTACTGCTACTACCACTACGCGCCAGCACCCAGTTGCGACAGCATTGTTTCTTATGTTGTGGGAGGGCAGAACGTGTCCGTTGTTCCTTTCAACATGGCCAGTCTTGTCGTCGACGATGCGAAATGCGTGGCGGGAATGGGACGCGGCGCACATCCCGCGCGGACGTCAATGCGGTGTCCTGGGGCATCCTCCACTCGCACTGAAATGCCCGCGCAGCCCATCACTGTTTTTTTATGTTGTGGGAGGGCAGGTGGGAATGGGCATGCCATGCTTGTCTCGCTCGAGCTGGCTAGCTTGACCCCACCCCACCCCACTCCGCAATTCCCGTCCGCCCCCCTCCCCGCGCTGGGACCTCCCAAAGCGACCCTGCCCACCCACCCTGTCTCTCTCTCCCTCCCTCCCTCTCTCTCTCTCCCTCCCTCCCTCTCCCTCTGCCGCTCTCTCCGTGTTTGCCGCCCGTTGCCGAGGCAACCGTCCCGCTGGCGGTGGCCAAAAAAAAACGCGCTCACGATCTGGGCCCCGCTGCTGAGGGCGTGCGGGTGGGGAAACTGGGGCAGGCCCTGCCTGGCAGATGCCCTTGACAATATCAAGGGCGCCCCGTTCCCCTGGCCCCAGTCATCCCCTCGACCCCCGCCTCCCTTCCTACATCCCCGCGAGCTTCACGCCCCGCCCTCTCCGCGCATGGTTTTTCTTGTGTTCACAGACAGAATTGAACAACGGTGGTAATTCCTATGGCTTTCTACCGTCGAATTGTTTCCAGTGGCTCAACATGGCGATCGCGCTGCAGCGTGAACCTCCTTCTCGGATCGGCGCTCTGCCCCCGTCGCTCAGCATGGCGCTCTCGCCCCGGCGTGGGCCACTTTTCCGGATCCGACTCGGCCCCCATCGGTGTCGCCCCCGTCCATTCCCCTCCTCCGCCTTCCCCTGGTCATCCTGCTCCTCCCGTTCCTTCCACTCCAGTTCCCGCTGCTGCTGTTCGTCCTCGGCCTCCTCCTCCTCCTCCCTCGTCCTCCTCCTTGTTTACCGCTCATCCTCCTGCTCATGCGCCACCTCCTCCTCCTCCGCCCGCTCCTCCTACGCACGCAGCTGCCAATGTCCGATGGCGCATGAACGAGGTTGTTGTTTCACTTACACGTCGGCTATGATACGCGTCGGTGGGCAGTGAAACAATCAGCGCAATGGGGAGGGATGGGCGGGAGGGATAGGATGTCAGATATGGCGCGAGCGCACCTAGCTTGCCCTCTCCTCTCCCCTCTCTTCCCTTCATTTTCCTGTTCCTCATCGATTCTTCTTTCGCAAAGCATAAGACACACACATTGTCGGCACATCGAAGGCTACGTTCGGGGGTGCGGCGGAACAGTTCATTGAGACTGAGCCCGTCACGGCTTTCAATTTGAAAAACAAGACACGCTTCTGAATGGAAGACACGCTTCTGAATGAAAGGCCGCTTATGAAACGAGAACGAACAGGGAGAGGGGGCGGAATGGCCGGGAAGTAAGGGCCCAACTAATCAAAACCAAGAAGCGGGGACGAAACCGAACGAGGGGACGCGGGAAGCAGAAGCAAGAGGGCGAGAGCAGAAGAGGCAAAAGTGGCACTGCCGGAACACATCTCTTCTCTCGTCCGTTGCTCTCCCTCTTCTTCTTCCTCCCAGGCATCAGTCCCTCCCTCCTCTCGCCACTGCGACTGCTGAGCGTGACTACTGCTATCCCCTCCCCCGATACCAGCGCTCCCTCCTTCCTCCCTTCCCCCTCCCCCTCCTGGGCCACCGGGCCCCCCTCTGGCGCGGCTCGCCGACGCCGTTGTCGGTCAGGTCCACGTCGGCGACGGGGCACCCAGCGGACGCGAACGCCTCTCCCGGCGCATGTGTGCCCGCAGGGCTTTGCCACGGTCACCGCTGCCCCCTCCCGCTCCTCCTCCTCCTCCTCCTCCCCCTCCTCCTCCTCCTCCCCCTCCTCCTCCTCCTCGTCCTCCTCCCCCTCCCCCTCCTCCTCCTCCTCCTCCTCCTCCTCCTCCTCCTCCTCCTCCTCCTCCTCCTCCTCCTCCTCCTCCTCCTCCTCCTCATCATCATCATCATCATCATCATCAATCATCATCATCCCCTCCCCCCCTCCTCCTCCTCCTCTCCTCCTCCTCCTCCTCCTCCTCCTCCTCCTCCTCCCCCTCCTCCCTCCTCCCCTCCTCCTCCTCATCCTCCTCCTTCTTCCTCCTCCTCCTCCTCCTCCTTCTCCCCCCTCACACTCCTCCCTTCGTCCCGTCCCCGCCCCGCCCCCTCCCTGCCCGTTCACACCCCTCCTCTCATCATGGCCGGGGGGGGCACTCGTAATCTTCGTCTTCAACCTTGGCGTCCAAATGGCGTTGCAGGCAACGGAATCCAGTGTAGATTGCTGGGTCGGATGAAAAGAGTTGTAGTGAAGGGGGGCTTCTTAGAAGCACCCTGCGCGCTTCTGTTAAACGCTTTGCAGTTTGGGCTCTCGACAGGCTGACAACGCTTTAAACAAGGCGCGGCGTTGTTCTGCGTTCTCATTGCGTCTTTTCGCGTTTTCAGGCCCCTCACTATGGATATGTTGTTCTGCATGTTTGTGTCTTTGCGTATCAAAGGCTGCTCCTTGTTTTCGCTGCCGCATTCGCTCCCGCTCTCCCCGTCCTGCCGCCTCCCGTTCCTCCCGCCCCGCGCGCAGAGCGCAGAGCTAAAAGCGCCAGGCCAGCCAGCAGCGACGACCAAACAAGAGCAATGTTATTATCAGAGTTGAGATACAAAGAAAACTGGACGCTAAGAGAAAGAACTGATGACGTGGTAGCCGGCAGTGTGAACCAGCGCAACCAGCTGGTCTAACAACGGTGAACCAAAAACTTCAAAACGCGACAACTATTTCCAATACGCCGAATTAAAAACGGGAAAAACGCCCAGGGCATACTGAAGAAGAGCCGAGCTTGTCGTGCTTCAAGACTGCGGAATGCTGCGGGAGATCTGCGGGCATGGCCGGCGGAAGAGGTGGCTCTGACAGTCGAGGAAAGAGGTGGGCTGACGAGTGGCGGGGCAGGAAGGAACTGCAACGTGTGCTCTTAGACCCATGGAGCCTGAGGGATACATGTCGGCGCTTCTCTGTTCCATTGCCGCGTAGACTGGATGTGTAGAAAGCACGTCGTCCTTGCGGAAACGTACAAGGAAACTCTGTGATGAGAATTTGACGTCAGCAATTATAATTATACTGTGATGGGTCCTTGCCGCGTAGCCCATCCTTCTGCGTGTTTTCCGTTGGGCTCGCACTGTCGGAGAACAGTGGGATGAATGGGGAACATTAGCATGAGCTGGAGCAACAATGGGACGGTAAGGATGATAAGACACGACATTGACCATCTTCGAAGTGTGATGGCCTCGACCTGCGATCGGATATATCTCGCTTGGTCTTCGGATGCCTACCTGCTGGGTGCGCGCTGGCGCAGGCCAGGCGTTCGGGCTCGCACCTTCCTCCTCCTCCTCCGCCTCCTCCTCCTACTCCTACTCCTCCTCCTCCTCCTCCTACTCCTCCTCCTCCTCCTCCTCCTCCTCCGCCTCCGCCTCCTCCCCCTCCTCATCCTACTCCTTCTCCTCCGCCTCCTCCTCCTCCCGCCCCTCCTGTTTCCTCTTCCTCCTCCTCCTCCTCTCCTCCTCCTTCTCCCTCCTCTCTGTTTCCCTCTTTTTCCCGTCGTCCTCCTCCCTCTTCTCTCCTCCACTCCTTTTCCTCCTCCTCCTCCTCCTCCTCCTCCTCCTTCTCTCCCCCTCTCCTGTGTTTCTCCTCCTCCTCCTCCTCCTCCTCCTCCTTCTCCCCTGTTTCTTCTTCCTCCTCCTCCTCCTCCTCCTCCTCCTCCTCCTCCTCCTCCTCCTCCTCCTTCTACTCCGCTGGCTTGCGAGGCCGGGCGCGAGAGCCCCCCCCCGCTCAGGCGGGCCTTGGCCAAGTCCGTGGCGCCGCTGTCCGGCTTCGCCCCAACAATGGGGGGGGGGCACTGCGTGCCCTGGCGTCTCGGTCGGGGGCCCAGGAGGCATCCAGCGCTTTGTAAGAATCGGAGGTTGGGGGGTGTGAACGGAAGTGACCCACCCCAACTGGGAAATCGGCTTCGGTTTCAATTCGTGTCGTGCGTGCGGGCGAGGCGAAGCTGCACGAGGTCCTGCACTGGTAGAGGTCGCCCCCCCCCGGGCGCCCCCCCGATGGTTGTCCTGCGGATTGTCCCGATGGTTGTCCCTTGTCCCGATGGGTGTCCTGATGGTTGTCCCTTGTCCCGATGGGTGTCCCGATGGTTGTCCCGGTGGTTGCCCCGATGGTTGTCCCGATAGTTGCCCCGATGGTTGTCCCGATATTTGTCCCGACGGTTGTCCCGATGGTTGTCCCGCGGGTTGTCCCGATGGTTGTCCAGATGGTTCCCGATAGTTGTCCCGATGGTTTCCCGCGGGATGTCCCGATGGTTGTCCCGATGGTTGTCCCCCGATGGTTGTCCCGATGGTTGTAAAAATGGTTGTCCCGATGGGTGTCCCGATGGTTGTCCCTTGTCCCGATGGGTTTCCCGATGGTTGTCCCTTGTCCCGATGGGTGTCCTGATGGTTCCCCGATGGTTGTCCCGATGGTTGTCCCGACTGTTGTGCTGATGGTTGTCCCGCGGGTTGTCCCGATGGTTGTCCCGACGGTTGCCCCGACGGTTGTCGCGATATTTGTCCCGTGGTTGCGGTTGTCCCGATGGTTGCCCCGATGGTTGTCCCGATGGTTGTCCCGACGGTTGTCCCGTTGGTTGTCCCGATGGTTGTCCCGATGGTTGTCCCGACGGTTGACCCCCGATGGTTGTCCCGAAGGTTGCCCCTATGGTTGTCCCAATGGTTGTCCCGATGGTTGTCCATTGTCCCGATTGGTGTCCCGATGGTTGTCCCGCGGGTTGTCCCGATGGTTGTCCCGATGATTGTCCCGATGGTTGTCCACCAGATATAAAGAGAGAGATGAATGGATAGATGAATAGATAGGTAGACAGATGGATTGACATAAATAAATATATATATATATATATACATATATATACCTATGCATATATATACATATATACATAAAATAGTATCTGGATCGGTAGACATATAATCGGGTAGAAAAATAGATAGGTAGAAAAGTTGGACGTTGGTATGTATTTGCCCGCGCACTGTTTGTTGGCGGCAAGCGGGACTCATCGTAAACAGACCACCTCCCCTTCCCCCCCAACCTCCTTATCACCCGAAGGGTGGCTCTATCGGTAGAGGAAATGGAGGCGGCCAGTTGATCACCACTCTTAGCCTGGGAAGACTGGAAGGTAGCTTAGAAGGGAGGGGAGGGAGGGAGGGGAGAAAGAGAGAGGAGAGGGAGGAAAGGAGCAAGAGAAGGGAGGGGAGGAGAGGGGAGGCACTGGGGAGAAAGAGAGAAGTGAGGGAGGAGAGGAGAAGGGGAGGAGGGGGGAGGAGAGGGGAGGGAGGGAGGGGAGGGAGAAGAGGGGAGGAGAGGGGAGGGAGGGGAGGGAGGGGAGAAGGAAGGGAGGAGAGGGGAGGAGAGGGGAGGGAGGGGAGAAAGGGAGAAGGGAGGGAGGAAAGGAGCGAGAGAAGGGAGGGGAGGAGAGGGGAGGCACTGGGGGGCGGGAGGGCGTCGAATAAGGTCACTGGGGGCGGCGGCGTGCTCGAGCCCAGCCGCGGGTGATCCTGCGGGCGCCCGGGCAGGGCCATCCTCCCCCTCCTCCCCCTCCCTCTCCTATGCCGTACTCCTCCTGCTCCTCCTCCTCCTCCTCCTCCTCCTCCTCCTCCTCCTCCTCCTCCTCCTCTTCCCCCAATTCCTTCTGCTCTTTCTCCTCCTCCTCCTCCTCCTCCTCCTCCTCCTCCTCCTCCTCCTCCTCCTCCCGCTCCTCGTCGTCGTCGTCATCGTCATCAACATCGTCAGCGTCATCGTCGCCATCATCATCACCACCATGATCATCACGATCACCATCATCATTTCAACCACAACCATCATCCTCCTCGTCCATGTTATCTCCATATTCCTCCTAATTATCGGCAACATAAGCTGCAGCCCCAACACCACTACCATCATCATCAGCATCAGCATCACCATCGTCATCAGCATCACCATCATCATCAGCATCAGCATCACCATCATCACCCTCATCATTGACTATCATCATGAAAATCAGCATGATCCTCATCAGCATCAGCAGCATCATCACCAGCAGCATCAGCAACAGCATCATCATCACCATCATCAGCAGCATCAGCATCATCAGCATCAGCATCATCAGCATCAGCATCAAAATCAGCATCATCAATGTCAACATCAGCATCATCATCAGCAGCATCATCGGCATCATCAGCATCATCACCATCATCGCCACCAGCATAATCATCATCGTCCTAATCAACATCATCATCAACATCGTGATCATCATCAGCATCATCATCCGCATCATCACCATCACTGGAATCATGAACATTATAATGTTCGTCAGCATCAACATCATCATCATCATCGTCATCATCGTCATCACCATCATGAGCAGCGTCCGCACCATTAACATGACCATCATATCCATCAGCATGATCATGATGATGATCATCATCATCATCACCACCACCATCACCCTCAACCTCACCATCACCGTATCATCCTGAACACCATCATAAGCATCATCATCGACATCATCAACATCACTATCTGCATCACAGCAGCATCACCATCATCAACATCATCAGCAACATCATCATCATCATTATCATCGGCATCATCATCACCATCATCATCATCACCAGCATCATCATCATCATCATCATCATCATCGCCATCGCCATCGTCATCACCTGTATTATCATCCTCACCATC